ATATCGCACTTTCCCTGAACTGTTAATCTCCATAGGCAGGCTCGCTATAGCCTCCAAAGTTTGAAAATATGTAACCGTCTTATTCAGTTTTTAATCTTCCAGCGGGTCGATTGTTGAATCGTTATCGAACGCTTCCGATCGATAAACTCCTATCTTAACAATGCTATATATCGATCAAGGTCATTCGATAACGAACGCTTCCGATCGATAAACCCCTATCTTAACAATGCTATATATCGATCAAGGTCATTCGATAACGATTCAACAATCGAGGAGCAGATTACTTGTCACGTCAGACGCCTCGGTTGACGAGCAAAAATGCCAAACGCCTTCATTTGTATCTATAGGCAATAAACACGACGTCGCGTGATAATAGATGCATCTACCCAGGTGGTTCTTTTTAACTATGCACACCGCGCAAATATGAGTCAATGGACTAGAAGATCGAAAACGCCTTCATTTGTAACTGTATGCAACGAGCACACAAATGTTGCAAAATTACTCAAAAAAATTTAAGCAAAACAACGACAACAAAGAGTATTACTTAACAAAGTCATATAGGCTCAACTTTCAATTTGCCCTCCGAGGACATTGCATTGGTATGCACAATCGTAGCAGCATTGCAAAAAAGGATACATGGTAATTCGAAAAAACTCCTAATTTTTTAATACATGTTTCAATAATACATGAGATAATATTTCCTCAAAATCTTATGAGCAGCATACCAACATTTTTTGTTCCATTTGAAAAATGAAATTTTGAGAAGAGATATATTTTTCAGGGGCTCGAGCGCCCAAATTTCGGATTTTGACTTTTTGGCGGATTATATTTGCCTAGCCGAAGTGCAAAACCACGTATCTCAGTTTGCAACGTCGCAGACTCCTTGTCTCTCTTGGTTTTTTTTCTTTGGAAAACTAGTCAGCGTTATTCTATGAAAATACCGCGGTCTTGATTTTTCTTTTCTGTTACTAAAATATTTTGTATAAATAAACTACCTATAGTGTTAGCGTGTTTCCTATCAAAGAATAAAATAGGAGTGGACATTTGGAATACACTGTAATTAGGATACACGGTTTTGCACTTTGACCAATAATAAGCGGAAGCAATTTATCGGTTCAAAATCCCTTTTTAAATGACACCCATCACTATTTTAATTAATATAGGTTTTTCTCTTCTCAATGATGGTATGAGCCTGTGCGCTCTCTGGGTTGGAAGCTTAGGCTTCCGTGCTAAGGAGAAAAGCCGTATGAACCTTCAGGCGTTGCCAAATATCCTTTCATAGAACGCGAATTTCCTAGTAAATTTATGAACATTTTCCTCCCAATTTTACAGATAAGTTAGTTCACAATTTTACCTAAAGATTCTGAAAATTTAAAGGAAAAATATTCATAACTTTCCTAAAAAATGAAAATTTTATCAAAGGAAATTTTTTGGCAACTCTCGAATGTTCATGCGGTGTTTTTCCTTAGCACGGCAGAAGGGGTCTCTAAGGTTCTTTTCTCGAGTAACTGATTTGGCATTTCTCTTATGAAAAAATGAAGCTAATCAGAGTGGCGGACCAGGGCAATGAGGGGTTATAGGACATTTCGTCAACGATTTTTTATCCGCGCACCTGTTTTTTCCAGTAATTTACGTCCACGCGTTTTTTCAGCACGGAAGTTTTTGTCCACGTGCCAGTTGAGACCCAAAGTTAATTGGCCCTCATGTAAATATGTACAAACGACAATTGCTCACGACGTTATTGGATGAAAATGTATAATGTCTTGGAAGAATGAGGGTTTGCTTTTTTTTGTTTTGTCTGTTTGGTCCAACGGAGAATAATATATAGTTGAGAGTTTTGGTAAAAATGGGGGAGCGTCAATTCAATGAGACAAAATGCACAGGACGTAACAGGACTTAATTATCTTTCAAGAAATTCCCAACTTGTTACAACTGAACCGGGTAAACCTCTATATATGCCGCAGCTAAAGGCTCTTCGATTTTTCCTGTGTACGATGAGTATCTTGATTTATTTTGCGAGGAAAGATCTGTACTTTTAAAGGATGCCTGTCATTCTTAATACGTTCAACTTCGTATAATACTATGCAACACTTCTGTTGTGCGCCGCCACACGGCGGGCGGGCGGCCAGCGCGGAACGCGCATTGGCGCCTACAAACCTAAGTGGATACTTCAAGCATTGTGCAATGCGTCTAGTATCCACTTAGGTTTGTAGGCTCCAGAGAGCTTCTAGCGCTGGTAGCACGCCGCTCTGCTCTGTTAGGCTTTAATATTTATACTTGCATAGTCAGCGTTCTTTAACTCATGATTTTGAAATGTTTTCACACTCTGCATTGATTATTTTCATTTAAATTGATGGGAAAAAAATATGTATCAATTTATCAGAGGAGAATAAGAATATAATGCGTGTTTTTTAAATATTGGTGGTTCCGTGTCAAATTTAATGATTTCCAAAGCACTTTAATTTTTTCTTTTACATTTTGTGCTTTTATCGTGCTGCAACGAGGTGTACGCGCAACCAAACGCTCAAAATTTGACGATTTTGACTCTAAATGATCGATATACAAATGGGTTAAAACTAAAGATTACGTAATTCTTGGTTTTTTTTCCCCTCTTTTATTCATTTCCGCAGTTTCTGTCGACACAACTGCGGCTTATTGGGATTAATATCGCTTGGAAAAGGTTTTACAAAGATATTTCACGTTTTAAAAATATAAGTGTTTTCAAAATGAAGTAATAATTTCGTCAAGAAAAAATTAAAAAAATGAAAAAAAAGTACCTATACACATATAAGGTATATTGTACATCGAATATTTTAAGGATAGAAATAAAACCAAATATTCACCAATGACAATTTAAAAAGATGATTCAAAAGGATGAAGTAATAACATTTCATTTACAAAATGAGCAACCATAACAATACCTCCTTCCCTCTCAATTTCTCATTTTCATATTGTCAGTATAATTTTACATACCGACTAAAATATAACGCTTGGACCAAGTCACCGTTGCTTATTTTACGTGTGGGCGTAAACTACTGGACAAAAAAGGTGCGTGGACAAAAAATCATTGACAAAATGTCCTGAAACCTGATGAGGAGGCGGTTGAAAATCAGGCATTTTCGCTGACAAAGTTATCTGATTTGACATTGCCTTCTCAACTTCAAAAAACCACTTTTGTATTGCACCCCTCACTCCTCCATTGACCCTTAATGAGCATATCCTGTAAAGATAATGAGCCTGGCATTCGCTCGTTTGACGTTTGCGTTCAGATTTCAGAAAGGGGAATAAATGGTGGTCTTTCTTGCCATTTATTACCGTATCTAAAATCTGAACTCGAGGGAGTTCATTTTGAATCAGTGGAAGAGGTCAAACATGCCGTCAACACTTTCATCCCCAGCCAGTTGAAATACTTCTACACGCGTGGTATCCAAAAGCTGTTCTCTTAGTCTCAAAATCAGTATCAGACCTGCTTGGATCGAGCTGGTTATGTGGAGAGGTGAGGTAAGCCCCTTATTCTACAAAATCTTCTTTGATTTTTCGTCAGTGATGAACGACTGAAGCGTTGGCAGAGAAGCTCTTCTCTTGTCGCGGACTTCAAATCTCCGCGGATTCGGCGGGAGTGGCGTGCACCTCGGCGCGTTCAAACGGCTCGCGATCGGCCGTACATGGTCCGATTTTGTTGCAATTTGTTTTGTTGAACTTAGTATATCCTAAGGAAGATTTTGAACTCAAGTTTTTTTAAAATTGGTCCATTCCTATTGATTTTAGAGAGGGGGGATACTTACTTATTAACCCTAGTCTGCCTGAGTGGGGTCTGATTGACCCCGCGGGAGTTTCAACTCTTTGCCATTTCTCGTGGTATGCACGAAACTTTTTGTCCTTCACAAATAGCTCTACAAAAACATCTAGGAACACGATTTTGAAGGGGGGGGGGAAGAAAAAATGTGCATGAGAGATCAAAAAATTCATGAGTACGCCTAGAAAGCCTGAGCGGGGTCAGATATCCTTATAACATATATTTTACCATTTAGCATCACAAAAGCCTACTTTGAAGGTGTATTCATTACTTTTTAATTTCTCTTTTAATCTCTTTTTTCATCTCTTTTTAATTTTTTTCAGAAACTTATAAAACAAGCAAAATTTTTCAGATTTTTTTCGTTTTCAGTATTTAGTAGCCCTATGATTTTTTTTTCTCATGCTGAGAACAACATGGCAACATGTGTATGATAAAATGGTTGCATACCCTGCGCCGTGTTTTTTTAAAAATTAGATATGCTTTATGGTTAAGGCCTGTAAGGTTAGTGCACTGATATTAACAAAAAACATGAAAAAAACATAGCTAACTAATTGATTTTCAGCTGGGGTCAAATTGACCCCGCTCAGGCTTTCTCGTTGGTTCAGAGGCTCAGGCAGACTAGGGTTAAACGCCCCTCGTATTTTTTTTATCAATTAAAATGAGAATAATCCATACAGAGTGTGGAAACATTTCAAAATCATGAGTTGAAAAACGCTGACTCCGCGAGATTAAATATAACACAAAGCGGAGCGGCGGCGCACTGGCGCCTACAAACCTAACAGGGATACTTCACGCATTGCGCAATGCGTGAAGTATTCCTGTTAGGTTTGTAGGCGCCAATGCGCGATTCGTACTCTCTGCCCGCCCGCCGCCACGCCGCAGCGTGACACGGCGTCTAACGCGACTATTTCACACCAGTACTCAAAAACTAACCAAGTCCTAGTATCCGTATTTTGTAACGTTTAGCAAACTTTATCGTCTGGCTGATGCTTAATCGGCATCGGCTATAAAAGGCTATAAGAAATCGTACAGCCGGCTACAGAAGCTATTGAAAATCTTACAGCCGGCTTTAGGTCTATGGTATTTTGGAACACAGATTCTACTGTCAATTTTCACCAGGGCTCTGTGGGACGGTTTGGGTGTGTTGGGAGCCAACGCAACGGTTCGGGGCAATGGAGTTCTAATATCGAGCTTTCTGTTTCAGATCTCAATTCCACTGGCGCACTTGTTCCACAACTGGAAGAACCTGTCGCATTTCTTCAAATTCGCCGACCTCCTGATGGCGTTCCATTTCACGCTGGACCCGTATTTGTACGTGCTCCAGCGATGGTCGGTCGTTAGATCCCTCTTCCGGGCCTCCTCCAGCCGAACCAGCTCCACCAAGACGTCCTACCTCGAGGCTTGTCCCCTCAAATGACGAAAGATCAAAGTTCACCAGTTGAACTTGGCACCCCTCAAATGACCTCAAGAATGCGGGCAGACCCCCGAGGCAGATTTTGAGGTGCGTCTGTGACAAATCAGTCTAGGACAGAGTCTGCGATTGAAGGTCCGTGGGGAAAATAGGGCCGCAAAACGAGAGCAGGTCTTCTTGAAAATTTTCGGGCGTGGCCCAAAGTAGCATATCGACGGTGTAAGTCCGCAACCATGTACTATCTAGGTTGTGGTGTTTGAAAAGCTCCGCTTTTATTTTATTCTTTTTTAAAGGGAGAACACCCCAAGTAGCACAATGCAACGAAAATATTGAAATTAAATTGCATACCATTCAATTGCAAATTTTTCACATAATTTAGTCGATTTATGCCGATTTTTAACAATTACGAAAATGAGCTCCATGTGTCAGAAAGATAGGCAATATGCAATGCAATGAAAAATTGCAACTTATTTCAATTTTATTGCAATAAGTTTCAATAAATCGTCACCTTCCAGGCAAAGTATCACAAGCGCCATGCGACGTTTAAAACTTTCCGCCGTCATTTTATTTTTTTACAGAGAAATTGTTCAACGAAGCTGTCCGAAAATTTCACTGAATTCTCTTTGTGCTGCCGATAAAATTTAGTGAAATTTCCAAACAGATTCAACCAACAATTTCTCAGTAAAGAAATAAAATGGCGGCGGAAATTTTTAAACGTCGCATGGCGCTTGTGATACTTTGCCTGGAAGGTGACGAAATGGGGCCCCTTAAAATAGGAGCTAGGCAACATACGCAACACTCAGTCGAATTGCAATATTTTTACTATGTAATTGCTTCTATTATTGCAATTGTGCTACATGGGCATTGGCATAATTCCTTGAAGTTTTCGCAGAATTTTCATCGCGCAGTGAAGAAAAATTACGGCAGTTTTTAAGAACTGCTGTTGAGTACCTAGTTTCGCATTTAGAGAAATAAAGTATGACCGGAAGTCTGCCGCGTCGCAAATGGAGATCCGTGGTTTTACACTTTCGCCATCGACATACTGCAATGTTAGTAACTATAACGACGGTGAAACTCCCAAACCACGCATCTCGGTTGCGACGTTGCAGACTTCCTGTCATATTTCATTTTTTAAGTGAAAAGCTGAGTAGATATTCAAAGTTAATTCCTCAAGACTTCCGTAATTTCTTCTCTCCGTGCGAGGCAAATTCTGGAAAAAATTCACAGAAAAATAGTGATTCGTTCTCCTTCAAAAATATAGAGGAGCGAAGATTGTTTAACACCACTAACAGGATATGCGGTGTGAAAGTTTCACCGTCGTTATAGTCTGACTCACTTTTCCTACCGGAAAAACGCTGAAAGAACTAATGATTGGCGCTAATTACGCACCCACTAGCGTGAAATTGAAAAAAAAAAAAAAAAAAAAAAATCACATCCATGGCAGGCTTTGATTGCATTTGATTTTCGACTCTCTTTTAGAACGGAAGGACGCATGAACTGAAAGAAAAATACTCATTTCTACATGTATATAATGTCCTACCAAAAGTTATACTTATGTGTGAGTCCTTCCTCCATTTATTGGTACCTGTGTAAAGAAACTAAGTCATGTACAAAAATGTATCTATCTTTTGTCCAGAAAAAATATTTATTTTGTTTACCTGAGCTTCCTATTTCTTATGATAAAGTCTGTTTGAACGTTGCAAGGTTTTCTAAGTAGAGGAAATTTTTGAAACGATGGCGTTCATAACTGTGCTTTTCTAGAGATGTAAAATAATAAAGTACTTTTGAACAGAGATATTTGTGTTTTTTGCATTTAGTAAGAAACGAGGCAGTAAAATTGTGTTCTCCATTGGACGCATCAATCGCCCTCAGTTAAATGCGTAATAGGCGTGATGATTTTAAAATTATAACTCACGAAAAATTGATGGATAACATATCCTACAAAAAAGCCTACAAAGAGAGGTATAGACAGTGAAACGGCAAAAATGCATATCTTGGATGCAATGTTTCAAAATCTTAGCTCCAACTTCTTTTTTAGAAGGAGACCAAATCAACATCATGGCTTGAAATTTTCACAGAATATTCTTCACATGGAGAGGAAACAAGAAATGGCGTTTGATAGTACCTATTCTACTTGGGAAATGAAGGTCTGCAACACTGCAAACCGAGATACGCATTCCTGCCGTTCCACCGTCAGGAAGTCTTAAAAAAATCGGGGATAAGGAAGTAAGTTATGTGGCTAATCCTGCTCCCTTGATTTGAAAACAATTTTCAACTCTTTTACTTTAAACAATTACCTAAATGAAGACAAACATTTTCGTTTGGGAGACAATAGTGATATATTTTAGTGATGCACATTGTAAATATAATAGGAGCTGAGGAGAAGTATAATTTGTATCTGCTGAAAGCTCCTTAAAAATTACAGGGATGAATAAAAAAATGATCACAACTGCAGTAAAAGAATGACCTACTTAAAACTATTTTTGGCACAACTTCTCACTCACATGAGGATTATTACAGGTACAAAACCAGATAGAAAGCACACTGATATTTAAGAAAATAAACGACAGACAAAAGGCTTAACTGACTTGAGAAGAACTGCAGGTATAAACTGCATGATTCATATTTTTCCTGGAGATAAATTCTTTAAACAACTGAAGACTCTCATCTCTAAAAAGAAAACCTCTCCATTTCCTGGAGACAGATTTGTAGTTGGACAACCAGTAATTTCAGAAATCTGCTGAAATACGTCAGAAATGAACTTGAGATCATTTTTTTTTTCATTATGATTATTTCTTTCTTTATCATTAAAGAGGAGTCTGAAATCATCAGTCAAATATTAGGTATATGTAATGCTGTTTGAAGCTCACAGTTTTGTCAGTTCATTACTTTCAAGAAGTAAGCAGTTTTGACAGTTGGTACAAACTGGACAAAGTACAAGGCTGCGTTAATTTCATCTTACTTTGGATAAAATGTAATTCCTAAAAAAATAAAAGCAACCATTTGTTTGCAGTGCTTACTTTTTTAAGTTTAAAAGTATGCTATGACATCACAATTTTCCATGTGAGTTTGACATCTGCCTCCACAAATAGGTATAAAAAATATATTTTCACACTAATTTTGTGTCAAAATATTATGAAAAAAAAATCTCAGTCTTTAATTTAAAATGCATCACGTTTGTGCAAAAGCACTCAAGGTCACGGGACAAAGCCACTTTACAAAGTGACAAAACTTAACTCTAAATCTCATTTAAAATTGCTTTATAATATCTACGAATATAGTCAAAGAAAGCTGCTATTTTTGACATCTTAGATTTCTTTTTATGAGATTTTTCTAGATCATGGTTTGGCGGGTTGGAGCAACCTTCAACACCAGCCACAACTTGATAATAAGAAGCGTGAACTCGTGGATCTTGGAAACATACAGTGCCACCACCCCGAACAAACTGAGTTTTCTGAAACATATTGACAGGATTATTATTTAGTGAAAAATACAATTTTCAAGGAAGAGAAAAATTGCAGCATGTGAAAGTTGTAGGAATAAAGAGTCATACTTTTGTGCTTTCATAAAAATTCTTTCACAATTGATCGAATACATGATGTTCCTGAAGGCTGGAATTTTTGAATTTATACTTGAAGGGTAAATTATGGATTCTGGTGTTTAATTATTATTTATAGAGTGTGCTTTGGGATTGCCTTGAAATAATTTATGGAGCTCAATAATTTGCTGAACAGTGTGGAATATTTTCATGCGTGAATATTCTGTTTAGTGGAGTTGAATTAAGAATAATTAGATCCAGAGATGACTGTTAAGTGAAAATATATCCTAGGAACGTTTTGGTAATGTTGTAGCAACTTAAATTTTGCCTTGAGGGCTACATCAGGTCCGGCAAAATTTTGGCAATGTTTGATAAGTAACAATGCTCCCTTGTTAATGCCAAGAAACATTTAATTTTGTTTCAGTTTATTTACTTTCCTGGTACCTTCTCTGAAGATACACAGAAACGTTTGCAGCAATTTCCCCTACCTTTGTCCTGATTAGGGACTGATTTTTTATTTGCCGCCCTAAAGCTATCTAAAGATTAATTTTCTCTCCTGTTCCTTTGAGTTTCTTTCTGGCACCATGTTGCAAAATTTCAAAGAAGACAGCCAATAAAATAGTAATTTATTCAAAATTTCATTATCATTTTATCTATCAGTTCGTAATTTTTTACCAATCAATAAATAGTACACTCTAGAATTGACTTTAAATAGTCCCTGAAGCATAAATATTGACTTCCACTGAACTGACAGATAGATACTCCTCTACTAACACAGTGCTTTGCATGATGGCTCCAATTTTGTAAGAGCTTTAATTTAGTTTTGGAGTTAATTTTAAACAAAAATAGAGGCTCTATTATGTTGCTTGCAAAAGTTTACATAAAAATAGTTATGTAAATGAATAGATAATTCCTGACTGAAGCAGGAATTCTGCTGTTAAAAATTCTGTCAAAATTGGAGTTAAATTCAGAAACTTACCGCTCGGTTAATATCACCAACACACGTCCAAGGTTTTGTATCATCGGTAGATATAGCCCATTTGGAGTGATCCTTGTGAGAAGAGAACTCGTCCAGACCAATCTTCACTGCGTCAATGTTTTCAGTGTGGAAAGGTTTCACACAGTCAGACTGGAGGCGATCTTTGCCATTCGGCCAGGTTTCGACACGTAGAGCAGTTTCCAAATCCTCCGTCAGGTAGTCATCATACAGATCTTTCTTAAACTTTGATGTCTTGGCATAAGAAATGAAACTGGAGCCGGACTTTGAAGTAAGTTCAACTTTGTGGGTGTAAGGAGGACTCTTCACTTTTCCTTCAAATTTCGAAACATTGTGCAGTTGTGGATAATGAGTGAGAGCCTCTTCGCCAAAATGCTGAGAGTAAAGCAAGGGATTATTGAAGATCAGCTGCAAAGCTGGAGGAGGAAAAAAAATGTATGTGAGCAATGAAAGTAAACATTTGGGAATCAATAGTTACTAATTATAAAATATGGCCACTACATTTATAAAAAAATGTATGTGAGCAATGAAAGTAAACATTTGGGAATCAATAGTTACTAATTATAAAATATGGCCACTACATTTATAGGTTACTAAATAGACATAGATTAGACATACTTTCTAAGTCCTATGAAATAGCTCACTTAAAATATTCTGGTGCCGCTTTTGGCTTATACTATTTAAGAAGATGATTACTGGACAGTATCAGGCTGAGAAGAGAAAATTTGCCACTAAGTCCTGATGTCGCCGGAAAAAAAGGCTGATCCACTTATAAAAAAAAGTATGATAAATAAAGTAAGTATAACAAGAAAAAAACACTAAAAAATGTGGGCCAAGCAGTGGGTAACAAGATGGTAAAATAGCGTTGGGTCCACACCCAAAAAAAGTTCTTAACTATTACTACTAGAGCACTACCTACTACTAACTATTTACTATTAGAGCTCAACAATTTTTGACTTTTTTAAACTTTTCGGCCTTGCTTTCCCTGCAAAACAATGAGGAGCCAGCACTATTTTACCACCTTGTTAAAGTAAGTATTTAAAGATGTTAAAAGATACAAAAGACAAACGGGACACCCAGTAAAAGTTGGTGGCAGCCAGTTTATCATTGCAAGTTGAAGCCAGTCTAATAAGACATCAAAATACAATATATTGCATGGTTAAGATAGGGTTAATTCTTGGCTTGTGCCAACATAGTTTCAATAATCAGGTCCAGGGGGTTTTGCTACTCCCTGGGGGGCTTTAGGAGGAAAGTTGGGCATCTCAGAGCGCCAGAGAAAACTGAAAAATCAGCTCTTGCATATCTTTACCATTCCTTTGGTGCAGCAGTATGAAAGAATCACATTTCTAACCTGAGGTATCCAGAGCCTGGGCATTCATAGATATGCATAGGAAACTTTGACCGTTTTTCATGCCAGTTTTGGGATATGAGTAAGTCTTTGTTTCAGGCGGAGGTGGGAAGTGGGGTACACTGTGAACCAGCCACACTCCACCATCATTATTCCCAGCGATGACTCCTTTAGAGTGGCCTTTGGTAAAACTGACGTTGCCATTTGGAGGTTGATCATTATACATCATCCACATTTCATCCTACCAGGGGAAATCAGTCAAAATCATTAGTTTGGTTCATCAAAAAGAGAGTAATCATTTTAGCACTGTTTAGCAAAAAACACAAAAAAAGGAGAAGAGAAATAGTCAGATCCCAGAAGAAGGAATGCAATTAGGTAATTCATTTGATACTTCTTGGTGCTTTTCTTCTCTGTTAGTGTCTTGAAGACCTCATCACGGAAGAGGTGTAGGCAATTAGACAATGCTGACAGAAATCAGTTTAACAGTTAACTACATTCGGCATGACAATAATAATTGCTTCCATGCTTTATTTGTATTTAAAAAAAAATGAGCAACATGCCTTGCATCAATATCTTTCATGGAACTTAAAATTTGATAGAAATAAAGAAATGAACGAAATCTGGCCCAACAAGTTTTTGGAAAAAAAAGTAAAACTTCCAATTGTTTATAACTTGTTATAAACATAAAAACACACTTTTCAGAGGTACGCCTTTAATGCACCCAATGCTGCAATCTCAGTTATCGCTGTCTCAATGTGATGCAAAACTTCGAGAAATTACCAAAAGAGAAGTTTCATGCCAGATAAAAATTTCTAACAGGATTATGGTCTCTTCTTGGCCTGAATTTTTAATCCCATGGCAATAAAACGATGATATTATAATGTTATAAACTTAGCGTAGAATTTATCTCTCATGCAAAAAGAAAAAAATTACCTAGATGCACTTTAAAGGTTTGAAGATACATGCCCATGTCCTAACAAGAGCAGATCGTACACAAGATGTGGGATTATTCGGCAAATCTAGAACACACAGCATCTGTTCTGAAAATGCATTTAAAGTGGGGGAGAGAGCAAACCATGCCTAAAATAAATCTGAATTTTAAACATGCATTAGTAGGACCTCTGAGCGGTGTCAGATTATCATTCAGACGGCTTCATGCATCACAGAGTGTTAACATTAGGTAAAGTTGGGCGATAATGAAAGAGTGCACTTTGTATTAAATATATATACACAAAATTAATTACAGAATGATTACTAATTTTCTTTTACAAAAAAAATTGGAATTTATAAACAACAGAGAGAAAAAAAATATCAAATACATGTGTTTAGTTGAACAGCATGGAACTGCATCAACTTAACTGGTTCATTTTTAAGTATGATAAATAATTCCTGGTCATATATTATGTTATAAAAATTTAAGATGTGAAAAAGGACTAAATGAATATTTTGACAAGATTAATTAGTAGATAGTGAAATTGTAGTTGATGATACCAAAAATGTTTAAGTTGTGAAGTCTGTGACCGTCAAAAAGAACTGGGTCCTACGTTCCTTGGTAAATTTTCAGAAGCCTTAGGTCTGTCAAATTTAGTCAAACAAACAGTGGTTGAGATTTAAACACTGGGTATTCTCTGATGCTCAACCCAAAAAATACGTTACAAAATATATAATTGGTTGATATTTCAAAAGAGAGTGGACAGATGCATTTCAATCCAACCATGTTGATCTAGATGGTCTAGCAAAACTTTGAAGCCCTTCTTCAAAACTACATTCTTTGAAGAGATAAACTCCAAACTGTATCAGCTCGAGAGTAGTTGAATGCTCAAAATACACTCCTTTATGCAAAGGTGGGAACTTTTGGTAACCTCAAGCATTGAGGTGTCTGACAGACGATGCTTTGAGATCATCACATTTAGGGAAAAATTATTTTATATCAATGGTGAAATTACCAGACCACGTATATCGGTTTGCGACGCTGTAGACTTCCTGTCATACTTTGCTTTTAAATGGAAAACTACACGACGTCAATTCTTGAAAAGTTCCGTGTTTTATCCTCAGGGGAAGAAAATTCTGCAGAAATTTCAAGAAATAAGTAATATTGACTTGTTTTCCTTCAACAAATAAAACAGCAGCGAAGATTTTTAACATAGCAAACGAGATACGTGGTCTGGTAGTTTCATTGTCGATATGCTACAGCATGCAGGTTGCGATTTCTTATTTAACATTGTGGGATTGAGAAACCTGGGAAACTACAAAAAAAAATCAAAAAGGTTTGAGCTCCACACTACGAATTTTCTGCTAAAAATAATAATAAAAATAATAGTGAATAATAAAAAAAAAACACCTCTAAAATGCCCAATGAAAAAAAGGATAGTCAGAAAACACCCAAATTCAAAAGTTTCTGCCAACAATACTGCTCAAAACCTCAATCATTTAAAATAAAAAATTAAAAAACAAAAAACTCACGGATGGTTCAGACACTTGATTTGCTGCGTCTTCGTACAGATGAGCTAGAGTCTGCCCTGGGAAAGAATTTTTGCTGTCAATACCATAGTTTGACATCTGCCAGCCTTCATTTGTGTCCGAGGTCATGAAGGCATACGCAACACCAGTTTTCACAAGAAAAGAGGAGCTCGTTTTGATCATCGGCAGTTTATACAAGTAATACCTGTGAGAAAAAAAAGGAAAAAAAAAGAGTTTGTATGAATAAAGCAGCTGATACTATCGAGGAAACCCATCTCCACATCAGAAATCTGTAAAATTTCACTTAGATACGCCTATGGGGGTGTATGAAAGAGATGTCTTAAAAGTCTGGCTGGTCTTCGGCTGAATAGAAGAGGCCAATTTTTCCAATTCGTGATCAACTCAGGTTCCTGGTATTTGAACATCATTTTCCTAGGTGACTTTATGATACGGTGTACTTCATGATTGGGAACATGTTCAACCTGTATGGAGTTAACCAGGCTGCGACGACATTCAAACAATGGTTTTCAATCCGCGTCTCTCAATTTGGATGGCAGATGGTCTCTTAAAGTCAGCATTGAAACGCTTGCGTAAATGCAGCTCATGATGCATGAAATTAGATCAAGGAAGAAAGACCAATGGGCAAGCTTTACTTGACAACGACAGGACAAGGTTAAATTGGTCCAAAAAAGAGGGTTTTGGATGATTTGGGAAATGAGCTACTTAAAAACTCAGCCTTAAGTAATCGTTCATATTAAATTACTACGCCTAATTACAACGCCATTCCTCAAGGTAGATAAGGCTTTTAATGGACAAATGTTCTCGAGGACGACTGAATCACTGAGCATCCATGCAGTTCTGCAGGTGGCCATCAATTTAGCATAATAGCCCACATTCTTCTCTAATGGTCTTAGAAGAATAGTAAGTAAGTAAGTAAGTAAGTAAGGGCTGGACTGACCGTTGAGGTGCCTTCAACGGGCAAAGACAACTGGCAGGAACTGTCAGCGTGCACCCTGAAGTTGGACTGTGCTCCTTAGCTTTGTACTATTGACTCATTCTATATTCCCGCAAGGCTCATCGGCTGTCTGATAGCCAACGGTACTTAGGTTCTATCAGGGACTGTGGCAGACACTGCAGAGGGCAGATGATCAAAAAGATCAGAGCACAGCCGTGCCCTAACTGAGTTGGACTGCATAGTTTCAATCTCCACTGGGAGGGTGCGCAGGCAGTTACACACACTAGAAGTAATCGACGAATTTTTCACGACCAAGTTGAACAAAGCAGACGGATTACTTTCTCCATGACTATGTCTCTCCCACCCCCTGTTACCTTGAAGGGTCCAGGATGTTGGAGTGGCATAGTTACTTACAGTCACGATGATTGGTATTCGAGTGCCTCAAATATCAGTCACCTCTGACGATTGAGCTCCGGACTTCAATGTTCTTAGCTAACTGCCTTGACCACCGCAACACTGAGACTGACTTTAGAAGAATAATAAAGAAGCAGAAAAATTTACAGAGCAACTTGATAGCTTTAGCGTAGATTACTTAGGTAGTGGCTGGAAATTTAGAGAATTTAAAAAAAAAAGCAATTCAATACTAAATACCACTAAACTACAGAACTTACCAATCCACCGGTTGGTTTGCCTCGTTAAGACATTGAATGGCATCACAGCCATGAAAAGAGACAAAAAGAACAGTAAAGAGGGATAAAATAAAATGAGAGAGAGACATTTCACTAGAGTACCTGTATAGCGAGAGTATGGACATATGTGAAACTCCGAAAATCCATCAGGCCTTCACCGATGCTTCTGCGAATGAAGTTAGGGCCCAGAAATGCAGCCAACCTATGAATTTCAATTATTCAGAACGATTTACTAATACTATTGTTACGAACCGTCGTTTATTAAGCACGTGTTTGACTCAGTTTTTGCATAAATTTACTCAATTTTGCGGAAGAACGCTCATTTATGTACATTCTTGGCCATCTTGGTTAGAATTGGAACCTGCAGACTGGCAGTGAAATTTTGTGCGTTAGAAGTTGGTTAGAAGGGTGGCTGCACTTTTGGGCCCTAAGCCCTCCATGAAGCGATCTGTCCATACTCTCGCTATACAGGTACTCTACATTTCACACATTCGATGTAGAGCCATCAGAGACCTCTCACATCAACGAACTTGTGTTACACTTTCACAAGTCCTCAGGGGAATGAGGTTTGAATGAGGGTATGAGAACGAACATTATACAGCTTGAAAGAGCTGATCGTCGATTGCAAAAATTATTCCATCGAAATATGCACCGTTATCTAATGATCAAGTGGTTTGTTGGTGGCCTCTTCTTATCACAAATGTAATCTCTTCATTGTTTATTTATTTATTTCATTATTCATTCCCACCCCCTCTCCTTCCTCTTCACCTATCAGTTGCATCCAAGTTACCAACTGGTCTAAAAAAGCCCTATTCTATTTAGTATAATTATGTCAAGTTTGAAAATAAATTTATGATTAAAACAAAATAAATCACGATAGTAATATTTTATATAACAATATGTACTTTTAAATGTAAGTCACTGGTCAAAATCAGAGGTTAAAGAGTCGAGGATATGTGGTCAAAAATACCAGCGCCAAGATTTGGGTGGCACTGCTGTACCGGGCTACGCAGCTGTTTATTGGTGCCTCGCACTCCGCTCTAGAGAGGCGGTAAAATTCAAAATGACGGCAAAGGATCTCATGTGCCGTCAACCGCAAACGCTAAAGTCTGGACGTGAAAAGAAATGAAATGATTCTCCAAACGTTAAAAGAAGCCAAGAAAATTAAGTGACGATGTTATCTAAAATAAATACCTAGATTTTCCTGTCGGCAATTCATCTAAACTATTTTTTTAAAGAGCCAGCTAAATGTACTTAAAATGTCTGCCTTTTCTTATAATGCTTACACATTACCAAATTGAACGTGGGAAAGAACTGCCTCCTTTTAATTTTTCCTTATGGAAAGTTCGAAACATAATATTAATTTACATACCTATTCAGTCCATTAAGTGAATTAAAGATTTGGACACATCGGTAAAAATGAAACAATGTATCCTTTCCTAATGAAGAACTGTCAGCAATACGTTTTTCAGATGAAAATGATAAAATGCTTTTCTTTCCCTAGATTATTTAATTACTACGTAACTCAAGAGAAAAATAATCGATGGAGAGAGAGACCAAGAGCAAAATTTGCATAAAAAGAGGATGAAGGCAGATTTTTCGAAAATATAGAGAGATATAACATGTTAAGAACATTCTGACATTGGCGCTTTCAGTCACTTCTTCATGAATTAGGGTGCGTTCTTTCGTAGATTTCTGAACCTCCATCCTTTGAGGTGCAAACTTCGAGCCGTTTGGTAACTTGGGCACTCAGGTACACGGTTTGTTAACTGTGCATTAATTCAGGGTGCAGATCGATGGGTATATAAATATTTGCTTTAAATAAAGTTCTCTCCGACTTTAATCAATATTTCTGAAAGTTTTTTGACTTTAGTATGTTATTTTTCACTTCAATTGACCGTATTGTAGAATGGATTTCAGGCCGAACTCCCTGCCCCCCACAGTTTTTTTTTTTTCCACTTAATTATCTCTGAGGATTTGTCTCCACTCTCGTTTATTACTGTCATTTCATGGTCATATACTTAATGAAGTTCAACTTGTGACGCATAATGGAAAAACCACCCCTTAATTTTAAAGGAAAACTTTCTTAGAAAATGCATGAAAATGACCCTGATGTGTCCTCGATAGTTTAGATGTCATATGATACATTATTGAGGACCGAAGGACAGGGAAACATTCCTTTTTCACAGTAGGTAGTTCCCTACAGAGATTTAGAAATTAGCTCTTTATTAAAAATTATACACTAAATGTGCAATTAAGATGGTTTTTCCAAAACGTTCACAAAGTTTCTTTGAACATTCTCTTGACTGCTTTGATTTAATGATTTTTATCTTTGACTCGGTCCTTTTTTTTAAATTTCATTGTGGTGTTTTCTACTTCAGTGTCTGGAAATGACCAAGAAGGAGAGTCTTTGTACACATCAATTAAAAGTTTCGGTCAAATTTAAATGAGATAAGTAAATTGATTCGAGATGGAGATTTTGGATTTCCATTTTAGAATAATAACTAAATAAAACTCTATTGCAGGATTTATCTGTAAATGTGAATAAATGATGGACATTCCCGTGCACAGTAAAAAATATACCACAATTTAATTTCATTTTTTGAATTTTTTTTCGTCACAATTTCCTTCTCAGAAATGCAGCACAACTTCAATCTTTTAGCTTTAAAAAAGGTATACTAAAAAGAACTTTGTCTACTAACACACAGTTGGCTCAAAAAAAAGTCCAATTTTTTTAAGAAAACACATGTTCTTCGAAAAAGAGAAGAAATAAAATATCCCCAACTTAATCAGAAGCAAAGTTTCAAGAGATCTACTTTATGGCTTTGCAGTCGTTTTTTTCTACAAATCTTGTCAATGTTTACTTTCTGGAAGGGCTACGCCCTGAATAGGTAAAATAAATAAATAAATCATTTTATCAGAATATGAGTTAAAGTTCCAGCATTAGCACAGTTGTCAGTAAATTAATAATTGAGGCGTTGAGCATGAGAAGGGCACTTATGGCCTAAGAAATGATATGTTTCGGAATTTCTGAAGCTAATAAGTCTTAGAGAATCTAACAAATGATGTCTTGGGAAATTTTTTCTTAGAACACGGTAAAATCATGAAGAATAGGTAGTAAAAATTTTAAGGAAATGAATGCACTTTCCTTGCACAGAATGAAATATTAGTAGAGATTCTGAGAACTGGGAGGTGCCTTTCTTACATCCAGCGCCTCAATTATAATCCTAGACCAACATGAATTTTGATAATTTGACCTGGATACATAGAAAATTGATTGAGAGCTGTTGGTACAATGTGACGAATTGAAAAAGAATTTTTTTTTAAAAAAAACTATAAAATTTATTGAAACATAAATTAAGTACTCGGTAAGTAGCAGTATATACTTAAGACTAAGCTGGTATTTTACAAAAAGGATTTGACTGAGTCTTTCAGAATGGAACTAGTGTCACTGTTTAGACTGGGAAATTTTTCAACTTTCCTGAGAGTAATTAGAGGCATGAGTTTATCCGTGAATCTATGGTAATTTCGTTCAAGTTCTCTTTGGTATTCTCGTTGATCAGGTCCGATCAAATTTTTATTTTTTCGCAACGCATCTGAACACTTTTTCGAAAAGTCTTTAAAACACAACCGTAATTTATTTTGAAGCTTCGTTGGAGGCACATCGCAGTCGAGCAATTCTGATAGAAAAGTCGTCGCCATTTCCATTGGACCTTGGTTTACTGTTGTTCCGATGCAACCTTGCAAGACCATTTGGAGAATTTTTGAGTCAGGCGGGTCTTGCTTGATGGAGTGCTCTAGTTCCATTGTTTTCTTCTGAATATCTTCAATTGCAACTTCGATTGGAGTTAAAACAATCTGCTTCCGACTGACGACTTGAATTCTTGTCTTCACATAGGGGAAATGGTTTGCCACGGTTAGAATGGTTTTCCTCTTGTACTGTTCATGCAGTTCTCCATGCGCTTTCCCGTTCGTGGTGAAAGGTGTCGCAAACATAAACCTCCGGATATTGAAATTTTTATCAAAGTGAGTGCGCCTGTAACGTTCTTCATACTGGTCAAAATAGGGCTCTACATAAGTAATCTGGATGTATGCTTTTGTAGAATCTAATGTATCAACATCGACTGAATTTGAATCCTTGATAATAATTACATTTTTCGAGCCGAATCGCTCTCCATAAAAGTTTTCTAATCTGCTAAAAATCTCAGGTAACTTCGTCAAAGCTTGTTCTTTGTAGATGAATTCTTCTCCATTTAGATCACCAAATTTGGATCCGTAAAATCCAACCCTAAAGTATGTTCCAAACATGCGTTTGCCATGAAGTTGTTCTAGGCGTATGAAAGCATCATGCAATTTCCCATGAATATTTGCTAATTTTTTGAAGTCTTTATTTTTCGTGCAGATGGGGATTACAACCTGATACACTTCATTCATCGCTTCGTAAACACCAGCCGTGTAGAAGGAGCTGGCAGCATGCTCCAATAGCCCAATAAATCCACTCTCAGTGAAATCTTTACCCAAACAAACACCCTCTTCTTCAGGACTGAGAACATCATCGGATACAGCACATTCCTCAAGAGCATTTGGCGTGATACGCTCCAAATCGACTGCACCCATTGGAAGGTGCTTTTGATTTTCCAACATGTGGAGGTACTCAGCGACAAGAGCAGCGCTATGAATCAAACACATTGCTGCTTCTGAGTGGTTATTCCGCTCCATGTGTTTTTGGGCCATGTTTGCCAACCATGTTAGACGCAAATCTGGAGAATTCTGATAACCTCTGGCTATTCGATACATGAGATCAAGGAGCATTTCTGGATCTTCAGAAAATTCTTTCATTTTCACAGTGTCTGACAAAATCATGTGGAGGTTGAAAACCAGATCTTTTACCTGTTCTGGAAAAGTAGTGTCTTGTAATTCGTGATCTTCTTCTGAGTAAAGAAGAATGGTTTTCAGAGATCTCCTTAAAGATGCTTCATTAAAAGTTTGACTAGTACCAACGAGAGAACTCAACGAGATTGTCACTTGCATTTTGACACGCGCAAAATTATTACCAATTTCAAAATTTTGCCTCATGAGCAGATACAGTGAGCCCGCAGCTTGAGAGCGAATATTACTGACATTGGAGCATGAGTGCTTCAAGAGCTGAAGACAGAGATCAGCGCAATATTCTGTTTCCTCATCAAACAGTAGATTCGGGAACTTAAAAACAATGGAGCGTTGCGTGGCAAACATGCTAAAAAGAACACAAGTGCTTTGGTTGCGCGACAAAGCATGAAGCAAAACTTTTAGAACAGCTGTGAGCAGACTCTGAAAATGGTCAACTTGAGCTGACATTTGAACAATCTGTTCCAGAATGTCGAGAACTATGAAACTGACTTCAGTGGACAGGATACTTTCGACGTGGGCATCAAATCCGACCTCCGATTTTGTTTTTGCCACAGAATCAGAGCCACCTTTATACAAAACTTGTTCTTTGCGCCATCTGAGCCGATCTCCTTTCTTGCGCGTTATGAATTCATTCCGAACTGATCCTTGTCCGAGAATGACATCTTCAAGGCGGGACTTTATATCTTGAGATTTCATAAATTTTTGCTTGTTCGAGTGGTTTATTACTTTCTTTCCTTTGTATTCAAAATACGATATACAAGTATCCAATACCTCTAAGAGTTGTTTCAGTTGAGAGGATGGTAAATTCCTCCACCATTGAAACATTATTTCTCTGTCCATATTTTTAATGACCCACAAGAAACAAATTAGAATGTTGCGCATTGTTTCATGACTCAGGTTATTTTTCCGAACCTTATGGAACATTTTGTAATTATCTGCGACAGCTGTTTTGACGCCAAACATCGAAGTCCCTGCAATGGCCATTGCTACTGATTGATTGATGCTGCTTCTTGGTTCAGCTTCGTCACCCGAGAGATACAAAGATGCTTCAGGGTCACTATGGCAACAGAGATATTTCATTATGATACTTAGGAATGGGATGTACAATGCAGCAACTCTAGCCTTGTACTCTGACTTTGCTAGCCGAGGATCCAGGTCGTGGCTGGTGAACAAATTACGGACCAAGTTCACAATTTTCAATTGAAGATTTGAATTTTGACCATCTAAAATTATTCTGAGATCTTGAAGAACAAGCCCAATGAGATAATGCTGCTGCCTGAATTCTGGTGACAGCTCTGTGAAATTTACCTTGTCTTTGTTGAGTAAGGATGATATAAATGAAGACTGACTAGTTAACGAGCCCACAGAGGGTGTCGGTGAAACAGGCGCTGAGGTTGATGTAAATGGTGTGCCAAAAGGAAGATTCAGAGCAATAAAATGCTCATGACTGGAGACGATTCGTAAGAAGTCCAATTTCAGACTGAATAGCATGATGTCTTCTGGACAGGAGCACAGTTTGGATGTGACTTCCCGATAAAAGATTCCAACTAGCATGAGCACGAAACCTCGATCCATGATTGAAAAAAGATCTAAAATGAAAAACGCTAGGCTTGCATTTATGGAGGTGATTAATTTTGAGTCCCGAGAGTTATAGTTTATTATGTCTGATGTAAACGACAGAACTAATGCCTCAATATCATCAAGGAAATAAGTGGGGAAACGGGTCTTTCTAGGTGCGTTTATATTGCCTACAGCTGATAAATGTTCGACCATGCTTTTGACCATCAAGTCGAAGAAAAACCAAGCATTTTCCATGCTATGATCTCTTGGAGAGCTTCGAGCAGACATCCATTGAACAAGCAGCTCCTCGTGTAATAACTTATACTTAGTTGGTCTTGCCAGATGAGCTCCTGGCTTCCATACAGGAGGATTTTCGTTAAGTTTCATGAAAGATGTAACCTCAGTATCATCTTCTTGGGTGGGGGTGCAGTCTGGACTATTAACTGGCATAATCCTATCCACATAGAACAAATCTGCAGGAGGATGGGGAATAGTGCACTGATATGCTACGTAAGATGTTAGTAAGCTGTGCCTTCCGGGCAAGTCTTGATCGATTTCTGTTAGAGTCTTAATATTTTTTACAATTAAGCCAAGCGCTTCGAAAATTGTTGAGCTAACATTGAACACAGTGTTTTTATAGCACGGAGGCTGCAAAAAAAATAGAAGAAGCTTATCAAGAATGACAGGTAAAAATTTCACCAATGGCTCCAATTGAGCATGATTTAAGTTCAAAATTTTTCGAATTAGCTCAGATTCGCACGTTGATTCGGTCACTCGAGAAGGTAACTGTCCATTTTCGATACAAGCGCAGAGATTAATGAACTGTTCAATGTATTTGTCTTGAGAGTGTACCGATGAAACACAGTCAACAATGACACTGAATAAATTTTTATGGTGGTCAACCCATTTAATACCCGGCAGGTGGACGTCTGGGGTGATGTAGGAATAGTTTAGTGGCGGGTGTTCCATGGTAACAGGAAGGCAGTACTCACCTGTCTGCAGCGAGTCGTCTTTGATCAAGGGCAACCAGGAGTAACCGACTGGAACTTCCACAGCAGTCTGCTCTGCTTTGCGTTGGCAACTGATGTGGTAGAAAGTGAATAGCAGATGATGTTGATCATTTAGGTTTGCAGGGAGAGCTATCTTTATTTCATCATAGAAGAAAGGAGTTTTGTTGTGATAGTTGACAATGGTGTAAGTTTCAGCCGTGAATTCAGGACAAGATGATTTACCAAAAATGACAGGCAGCGCCTGATGTTCTTCTTCACCGCACATTAACTGGATCTTCACCGCGATATTTCGAGCTGATCCGGTACGACCTGAAAAGTTCAGTTCTTTTGGATAAACAAACAGTAGATCACGGTACTGGTAATGCGGAGTATACATTTCTTTGATCGGAAATTCTAATATTTCCTTTGTGGGCCGAGATTTTTCCTCAATAAATCCACCCAGCGGACAAAGCTCAGGAGTTAGACTATTTTTCATTTCCTCCGGACACGGAGATATATCCAGTTTCAATGAGCCTGGAATACACTTCAATTTTTTTAAGACAGAGGCTGGCCGTTTTAATTCTTGCAAAAACTTGTACAAGTCTTCATCACGCAATTTATCGCTCTCCTGTTTGAAAAAACTGGAAACAGTGATAGTAACAGGTCGAAAACTTTCAAGATTTGTATCTAATTGGTCAGAGGACCAACTTAATCTCTTTAAGGAGTTGCTATTCCTCCTCTCAAGGGATCCACGCCTAGAAAGAGAATTTCCAACTTCAGTTGCGCGTTTACGAAGCTGATCAAAACCACTACCACTCAATTTCCTCTCCAGACTAGATGATGAGCTAACACTATCTCTGCTGCTCAAACTTTCATGCTCTCCATTATTTACACCATTAATTACATTCATAAAATAAACTGCTGTCCATGCAAACGGCATTCTATACTTGCCCAGGCGTTCACATGAGGCCACAGCATTCTGTTTAACTTTGTCTAGGTTCAATTTCTCATCTTTGATATACGGCTCAGCACACTCTTTTATATCACCTTGCAGGACTTTTTCTAACTTGATGACTAAAAATAGATCAGTAGGGTTGTGAGAGATATTGAAAATGCAGGATCGGCTGAGAGTGCTCTGATCTTTGAATGGAACATGAGATGTCAGCATCTGGTTGACAGACTCAGGGTTTAAGTCAAAATAAAAATTTTCAGATGCTTTTTTCTTTTCTTTGGCATCATAAAGTGCTAATGAAGCAAAAATAGGTTCAACTTCCAACTCTAATTTAAGTTGCAAACACTTAACTAGGATTCGGTGTCCAAATTGTTCAACCGTTAGGTCAGGAGTGATTCGTCGTTCTACGTGGTCTTCAATATCTTGAGTTGGATACAACAAGAACAAGGTGTTTTGTCTTCCTTCAGACCTTTTCAATTGGTTGATTTGATCGATTGAATCGGCTGGTACTCTTTGAAGAAGAACTGGAATTAAGGGATCACTTACCGAGTTCAGGAGATCAAAACTAGCCCAGCTCCCACGTGGAGTATTGCAAACAGTGCTGGGTGAAGAACGGCGTGTTTTGGGACTGGCTTCTTTCTCTTCACCACAGATAGAGCCATTGCTGGAGCCACTATCCAGATCAACTTCAAACTCTTGTAAAGGAAGATTTTGCAGAATAGATTCTCTCGTCTGAAGGACTAGAAGACTTGGGTTTTGCCGAAATGGGTGGTAGACAACCACCCAATCTTTGGTGTAGCATTTTAGACAATCTTTCACACGGACAGGAAGCTCTGAAAAGGGTTCTTTCGGAACTTGGGGCTCCTGGGTCCTGATTTTCCTGGGTACGATGCACAATTCAACATCATGCGATGGAAATTCTAGCAAAGGTCTCAGGAGATCTTTCTCAACTATAGACTGGTGCTGAGTGATGAATTCCTCAAAATCAAGAGGGTCAACAATGTCGTAAGGATTGAAACTACCTCGGAAAGGTTCTCGACTTGTCGAGATGATTTCTTTCCGAACATCAGCAGCATGCTGATTGGACAGTTTCTGGGCAAACGCTCTTTGCATTTTCTTAATACATAGTGACTAGAGATACCAAAGATAAGAGGGCCGTCTCAATCTTGAGCAGAGACAGCTATTGATGGAGCTGAAGCTGCCCTGAGGAATCAGGTCCATCGGTTTCCCATTTGAGGACTTTTAGCAAAAGAATGACATGAGACTTCATCATACAACCTTAATTGACAGTTAGAGGCCACGGAGACATTATCAACCGAGAGGATGATTGAAAAAACACACCAACAAAATTGGCAGGGAGTAATCGCAAACACAATTCCTGAGGGTTGGATTTGACTATGAACTGAACTGTTCCAAAGTTAGGTAGTTTCACGGCATAAGAAAACACGATGAGAATATAAAATTTAGCTTTGTTTCCTGATGCATTTAACACTTTGAATCAACTGGGTGACCGATTTCGCTAGGAAACTAAAACACAAACAAACAATAAACATTAAAATTGCAAAACTTTTGCAAGTTTAGAGGTTAGTTTCCATGAAGCACAGGTTAACCAGTCGCCGAAAGACTAAGTACACCAAATAATTAATGCTGACCTCTTGATATTCTAGATTTAAAGTCGTCATAGTGACTTCAAAATATGAACTCAATTCTGTATTAGACTTCATACTTGTAATCAGGAACCTAGATAGCTTTGCAGTAAAAATTGGACTATCCAGGGTAAGATAACGGAACAGGACTCTTGTTTACTTTTTTGACTTGAGAAAGTGCAATCCTGTGTTCGAGGGTCCCTGCAAAAAGGCGAGGGGCGAGGAGGGGAGCGGAAGTTGTGATCCATCTCCGGCAGACGGACGGGGGAGGAGAGGTGTCGGGCTTTTTTTTGCAGAATATTCTGTCAAGAACGGATTTTCACAATATATTTGCCTCTTGAAGGCCAATATACACTCAATCAAATTTAACATCCGACATAATTGAACAAAAAGTTGGATGGAAAGTTGAATGCAAAAAAAATTGATTCAATTACGTGCTACGTAAAAACGTCGCAGGTAGGGGTACAAGCGTTCGAATGTTACCACCTTTCTTCTTTGAAAATGCTTACTTTTGAAGAAAATTATGCAAATTTTCCCTTAAAATTTCGAGAATTTTCAGATAAGATTGTGAACAATATCCTGTGAAAAATCGGAAGAGAAATATTCTAGAAAATTCGTGATTAGCTAGGGAAATTTGGCGACGCCTGATGCCTCATGCGGTGTTCTTAGTTCTTACTGAGCACGGTAGCATAGAATAATAAAGCTAACGCCTAAATAATAAGGCGTAGCCTTATTATTCTATGACGGTAGCATGGACGGCAAGCACAAGCGTATTTTATGGAATGAGCAGCCACGCCAGTATTCTAATCGCACAGGCTAGCTCTCAGAGCGCAGTTAGGCCGCAGCATTTCCATTTCAAGATGCATGCATTTCTCCAAGTGACTCACCGCAAGGTAAAATCACGCAACAAAAGCTTTAGCCTTTAGTTTCCTCCTCTGTACGTGCATTTTTTCCAATTTATTTCATTCCCTAGTGACAGTGATCTTTTAAACATTTTTCAAAAACTCTTAAAATGTTTCGTATTAGGAGACCCTTTTTTAAATTATTTTTTTTTTTTAGTAAAATTTACGAGAAGTAAGATTTAGGTAAAATCTAGGGAAAAGTGTTAAAAAACTCTTAGAATATAATAACAGTTTTTTAACATTTCTTTCCGACATTTTTAGTGTTGAAAAACTACAGTTGATATTTTAACAGTTTTTTAAAACACTTTTTACTTAAATTTGACCGCTTGTAAATTTTACTTAAAAAAATAGCCAAGGCGAGTTTCCTGATACAAATATTTAACAGTTTTTTTAAGAGTTGTTCACTTGATATTCAAGAGTTTTTTACAAGTTTTCTTCCACAGCTGTAGCTATAGTAGGGTTACTATATGCATTGTTTTGTCGATGTTAAAATCTTTTATTATTTTCTGCACCTAGTAAATTCAACGAACTTTTGACTGAGTTTTAATCCGCAGATTGTCAGGACAAAATAGTTTGTCAATTATTGTTGGCCTTATTTGGTATGCATAGTGGTTGTAATGCAGGCTCTATAATCAGCAGGTTCCAGGTTGGATTCCTGGCTAGGCGACTTGAATTTGAAGATCTTAAACAACGGTTGCCTTCTGGAGTTGATGGGAGATAGGGCTTTAATAATTTCTTACCTATGGTAATCAAGTTAGTTTAATTTTTAACTTATAAAATGGGAACATTAGAATGTTAAAATACCAAAGCCAATCACAATAAGACATGGATAATCGCCTGGTTTTTATTCAACTTTGAATTTCGCCTTCTTAATAATAAAAGAATCTTGAATTGATGAAATAAATAAGAAGGAAAGGTTAAAAAGACGTTTCTTTGCTCCTCAAGAATCATAAATTTTAAATTTTTAATCTCATTTCCCCTGTCCCTTTCTATTCAAAAATGAGAGACAGATAATCTTTTCTTTCTATCAATAGTCATCCGTAATGTAATATGATCTTAAAATTTGAGGTGAGGTTTTTTCTTTAAAAACAATTTAAAACAGGCAAACTAGAGCCCATTTCAGATGACTTTGTATTTTTTGCTGTTGGCACAGAATAGGGAATTTGCTATGCGGTGCATACAGCGACAAAGGCGTTTGAAACGGGCTCAGATAAAAAGTATTAAATGGGCTTCTTCAATGCAGGAAGACCCTCTCCTAGTTTTCATGGTTTTCTTTTTCCTAAGACATGAAATTAGCAAAGTCTATACATGAAAACCTCAACATCATTACAAGCACAGTTCTTAATTTTTAATGACTTTGATATGCTTACAATTTACATCAAAGTACACAGAGCCAAAACTTTGGTAGCTGTTTTATCAAGGACACAGTTTTTGAGCTAGAATCTCCACCCACCTTTCAAGTTCGAAAAAAACACTAAATTGCAGGTTGTTTTTTTTTTGTTTTTTGTTGTTTTTTTTTTGGAGAAATGGACACTACAGTCAATTATGTAATTTAAATGTGCAAATTTTTGGAACTTCCGTGATCACTATGTCAGAAGGGTCAGAAATGTGGCACACAATATTGTAAAGCAAGGGTCCAAAAACTTCCTGATTCTGTGGTTTGACGATTTTAGCAAATGTCAGACATATCTTTGGTTGTGAGGCAATTTTCAAAGAAAAATAATTATTTTTCCCTGCTCAACGCATCAAAGAGGTGGGGCAACTGACACATGTTGTCTTGATATCAGGCATTTTGCCAAAATTTGAATAAGTAATATCCGTGGGGCAAAAACACTGAATCACAGTCAACTGTCTGCATTTCGAGACTTTTTGAACCCTTGACAGAAAAATGAATCTTGACTTTTGCCCTCAGAATTCAGTTCATTTATGTAGAGAGGGAAAGGTGAAGACTTAGAGGATAGCGAATGACAACAAACGGAATGGAACAGTGTGTGGATTTTTAATCTTTTAATTTTTCAACAAAAAAAATCATAACTTTCAATGCTGAGATACCCAACATAAAGAGAGAAAAGAGGACCTATACAAAATAAGATTTAACAGTTGGAATTTTTTATCTTCTGGGTTTTGAGACTCTCAAGTTCCTGCTTTACCTTACAAATTAATTTTTACAATTTACTAGGAACGGTTTCCACTCTTTCCGTTACCTTCGCGCTCATCTGAAGTTTGACAGCTGGATTTAAAATGCAAAATGACTGAAAACCATTAGGAAACGAACGATGAACATTCTGAGAGACCTGAACTTACACTACCTAAGACATATTGAGGAAGGGGGCTCATTTCTTTGCAGCTGGTGCTGCTGGCTTGGGCTTTATGAACTTATAGTAGACAAAAACAAGGGCAGCAACGCCATAGGTGATTCTTGCAGCCTGTAACAGAAAAGAGAAAACTCAAACAATTCATGTACATAAATGTACTTTAGAAACAAATCAGAGTGTCTGCAAACGCCAGTAAACAAAATTCCATTGCTGATCTTGGAGCAAAACTACAAACTTACCGACTTTTTTTTGATCGATGATCTTGAAAAGTGATTATTTTTGATGGCCAAGAAAAGGTGAGAATCTCCAATCAATGCTTGATAAACGGGCAAAAGGAATTGTTCATAATCAAGAGCTCATGACTAGCCTTTCGGGACTGAAGATTTTGGCAGTTAATCCACTGCTGCTCAAGAATTTCTACCGCACAACCTATTCTTGTGGTGATATACTTATTAAATGACAAAAGAACCAGCTTGTAGCAAGCTTGAAGATTTATGCTGAAAGGAGTGCACAGAGGTTTGAATTTTGAAAGAAATTACTCAAACTTCATTAAGCTTTTCTCAAAATTTTAGAAACCAAAAATAATAATGTTTAATTTCTCAACTTGGTTTGAAAGGTTTGTTACTTTGTTCTACACAGGAAAAAGTATAAGATGTGGTAGAATTATAGTTACGGTTTTTTCTTTTTCTTCATCAATCCTTCTACACAATTTTTTTTTTTTTTGAAAACTAGGTTGGACCCCTGCGGAATCTGCTTGCACTAATGACATAATCGCTACAAACTCAGGCAGATAAAAAGGGTAAATTCAATGGAGTTTTATCTGACTAGGGACAGGGCTTTATCCATAGACAAAAGACCTCCTACCGCCCTTTTGGCAAAAGGTGGAAGCTTTTACTTTTAGGGATTCAGCGTTTCCTTATGGATAATTATAAGGGAGCAGCAGTCATCTTACCTACTAGGTGGATGATGAGCTTTCGGTTGCGTCATGAGCCAAACAAGTTTCCCAAACTTCAGTTTGTCTGCAAAAGAAAACTCTCAACTTGTTCTTTACCATCCACCTAGTAAGTAAGTCAACAGTTGAATGGTGAAGTCCCAAGAAAGCTTCCACCATTGCCAAGATACCAGTGGAGGGTCTCTTGTGTCTGAATTTATCTGATAAAATTTTATTTATGAAGACTTTTAGACACTCTTTCAAATCCATTACTGCTTCGGTACTCGCTGGGGATGCGGAATTTTCATCAATTTGACCGAAAAATCGATTTTTCCACCCAAAAGATCAATTAAATCAAATCAATTTTTTGTTTCATGGAAAATGAAATCTCACTCATCAGTAAAATGGAATTTGGCACTCAGGTAGAAATAGGAAAATTGATTTTTTTCCGAATCAATATTTGGGATTAATCGATTTTTTCATTTGAGTACCTAAATCTACTCGGTTTTAATTGATATTTTAACCAAAATCAAACTGTTTAAGAAAATCAATTCTTCCAAAAAAAATCCGCATCCCTGGTATTATGAGACTGAATGATAAGTATCAAAAATTAAGTACTCATAGTATGAGTCAGCTGATGTTAAAGCGTAACCATTTATAGCTAAGTCCTAAGCTCGATCAGAGTGCTTAAATATTCTCAAATTATGGACATTTCTGGTTTGACCGAATGAATTTGTTTTAACATCAAATGATTCAAACATTTAGCTCCGAATAAAATATAAGGGTTACCAACCGATG